AATGCTCAAGTTCAGATTAAATCAACTGCTGCTGACAAAGCCGCTGGTAATTGAGTCACTCTGTGCTGCGAATCCCATTTTTCTTTGCGTGTCATGGTTTGGTTGCTCATTCCTCCCACTAGCTTAACCTGAATTCTGTAATGAGGATGGGGGAACCAGAGCTATTTATTGCAGTGAAGATGGATTTGGGCATTTAGGGCCTCTTACACAGCCTAGCTTCAGCTGCTGAAAGTAAACTCTCATGTGTTGATTTTCCCCTAAAGAGTCATAGGTGCACTTAGTCATGGCTACCCTTATTCTCAGAACGCCACATTGATGGAGCTGTGTTACCTCTGGAGCTCCAGACAGCTCGTATAATAACCGATTTAAGTACCTCTGCATAGTGCTGCATTGCTTAAGGTAGAAATCCCCAACAGACCAACAGGGAAAATGGTCTGAAGTTGCACCAGGGCAGGTTTAGGTTGGACATTAGGAAAAATTTCTTCACCAAAAGGGCTGCCAGGCTCTGGAATGGGCTGCCCAGGGAGGTGGTCGAGTCCCCATCTCTGGAGGGATTTAAAAGAAGGGCAGATGAGGTGCTTAGGGCCATGGTTTAGTGGTGGGATGGCAGGGTTAAGGGAACGTTTGGACTTGATGATCTTAAAGGTCTTTTCCAACCTAAACAATTCTATGATTCTATGATAATACTGAATGATAAACTATGTCAAAGTAAGGTTTAATATCAATTTTTCTCAATAGTCCAAACAGAGCAATTTCTGTGCTTTCTTCCGTATAAACTCACACAAGCCAGATCCTGAAATTCATTGAGAAGAGTTTTGTGCACCTTTTAGTAGCTGTCTAGGTGGGATTTCCCACAGTTTGTTACTTCTGACATGAAATTGAGAATTTCAGCAAAGTTCTCTGAGTTCATGCTGGTTTTAAACATATATTTAAATTTTAAGTATGCACCTACGGTAGATGGAAGGGAAGGCAGTTTTCAGAAAAGAATGAGAGGGAAGATTTTAGTAAGACATATTTATTTTAATTTTTTTTTCTGAGAAAACTGTAATATTCAGCTGTGAAAAATTGGGACCCAACTCCTTCAGCCTGTTCCTCATGCATTATACAAAGGCATTGCATGATTACACCTGATCTCATGAGGTTTGTTGTGTAATGTCATGATGGTTTTTTAGAAGCATAGAATAAGTAGCCTGACAAATCACACTTCACTAATTTTTATGCTAAATAAGGTGTCCCATAATGCAAATAGGAAGTTTTCCCTTTGCTTAGGGAGTTTGCAAGTAGTATTGCAATTGCTTTTGACAAGAACATAGAATAAGCGCTGAGGAAGAACTGTGTTTAAAGAAAATACCCACTTCCAGAAAGTTAGTTAGAGAGAAACAAAATCTTTCAAGTTTGATAAAACCTTTGAGCTAAATTTCATATTTAGCACTGCCAGCTATGACCTTTTAAAAACTTCATACAAAATCAGTCACTGTGTGCAAATAAGTGATGCATATATCTATACATCTTTGATTTAAGATTATCAGTCTTATTTAGCAAGGAATTTAGGACTCAGATAACAGATTTGCTTTCCTCATCATTTTTTTTTTTTTTTTTTATTATGTTAACTCAAAAGATTGTTTGGTTGTAACAGTAGGCAAGGTAGTGAATCCATGTATGTTCATGGAAGTGTACTTGTAGCATAACTGACTTCTCTTCCAGATACTCTGATATTTTGAGATTTAGTGAGCATTTTGATGAGATGAACTATTTGATCTGTTTCAGCACTTCATGAGTATCAAAGATAATTTAGGGGATGGAGGCGTGTTATGGCTTCATTAAAAAACGATCTGTTTATGAATTATTTTTTTTTTTGTAATTACAGAATCTTACAGGTAAATAGGGTTTGGACTAGATAATAGTAAGTATCCGTTGTTGTTCATGGTGACCAGTGGAGCTGTGCTGTCATTCAGTGTGGGTAAATCAAGCTGTTATATGTGGAAGTCGTTTGAAGTGATCTACAATAAGCAGAGAGCTGAGAGAGCCTGTAGAGCTTTTTGTATTGAAGGGATGGTGGTCAATGTAATTTATAGAAAATTAAAAGAGTAAGAATTCAGTGAGTAATTAATTGAAAGAGGGATGTGGACCAACTTCCACATTGTAAATGAGGCAGCAACAGTTGGATACATGACCTTGCAGAATTTATGGTGAGAAAGGGACAAATGGAAAGATTTCTGGGACTAGTTGAGGGCAGGTCCTGTTGTGAAATAGTGCAGAGGCACAAAGGCTGTTCACCAGAATTTATGGCCATCAACGTCACCTATCCAAGAATACTCTCAACAGCTTTGATCCAGCAAAGTGACCTTATCATAGAATCATAGAATCACAGAATGTTTTGGGTTGGAAGGGACCCCTAGAGCCCACCCAGCCCAAACCCCCTGCAGGGAGCAGGGACACCTTGAACCACATCAGGTTGCTCACAGCCCCGGCCAACCTGGCCTGGAATGTTCCCAGGGATGGGGCCTCCACCCCCTCTCTGGGCAACCCCTGCCAGGGTTTCACCACCCTCAAATGTCCATTTAGTGCCTTGTTTTACATACCTGTGATGGTTACTGTAAGGTAGAACGTTACCCGCCTCCCTTGATCAGACAGACTGTCCCAGTTCCACTTCTGTGACTACTAACGGGGTTGTTGGCACAGATTTATTTTATTTCTCTGTGGACGATTTGTAATGTTTGTTTCTATTTCTGCAGTGACTGGGTAGGGTAAGGTGAACTGAAAGCAGTTATGAAAGCTCCGGGAAAAATATATGAAAGTGCGGTAATCAGAGTAGGTTTCTTTTAAGCTTGACTGAGTATAGAAGCTTTCATTCTCAACCCTTGAAAAGCGGTCTTAGGTAATACTATTGGGTTCATTGTTTATGCAGTATGGTATTAAACCTGGTATTAAATTAGGTTAGAACAAACACAGCTGCTGTTTCTACCACCTGTTTTATTAAGAAAATGAAATGTTGGGCAGCCCTTGAAGGCCATATGGTTCTTTCAGAAAGACTTTGTGACCCTTACTTCTACCAAAAGAACACTGAAGGTAATATGCAGCGTTTGTCATTTGAAATCTCGTTCCAAAGAAATAAGGGCACTGAGGTGTTTGTTTAGAGATCTTATGTAGAGATTTAAGAGTAATTATTTATTTAATTTCCCTGAAAACCTATTCAACTTGATCGGAGAGCTGTATATACAAAGAGGGTGATTTATCAGATGTATTACAACTGATAAGTAGTATCTATGTAATGGCTGTCACTGTAAAGTGAAGATTAGAAGGCTGGTAAACAAATAATAAAAACGAAGCACTGTTTCATGATAACAGCAATTTTATGTTGCTGTGTTTTTGCGTACAAGGGTTTCATGACAAACTATTAACTTGACGTATTATGTTTAAAAGGTAATATGGAAGAGGATTTATGTAGTTACTTTATACGATACTGGATGTGGTATTGACGTGACCCATTGGTAGCTGAGTAGCATTTTTGAAGTAAAAGCAGCAGGAAATGCTCTTTCTAGCACTGTCTGGGTTTTGTGTTGGTTTATGCTTTGTTGTCTTGAGAAACGAGGTAAGTGACAGGGATTAATTCAATCATACAAAACTGTTCCCTAACACAGGTGTTAGGGTTGAGATGTCATTTTCCTTTTGGTGTAGCATATATCGCTAAATGTGTAAGGAAGTTAACAGTTCTACATATTAGAATCATGAGACATAAATGTTTCATTAACAGATGTAAATATTTTTTAAATCTCAAAAGCATAGTGTTTGCTTTTAATGAACTTCCGCTTCGGAAATTTTGAATGGTCTTTAGTCATTAATATTTCGTCTAGAATCCAAAACAAATGAAAATTTTCCCAAGCAAGAGATGTGCTCCTTTGGAGGCAGAAGCGGTGCCCCGCGTGATGGGATGTTTTGTAAAAGCTGCTGATCTGCCCAGTGGCAAGATGCTGCGACACTGGGTAAGGGGCTGCTTCTATGCAATGCCTCTTGGGTTTGGAGGTTTTTTTCCTACCTAAATATAGGAAGCAATTCCTCTTTTCTGTCTCAAAGGGAAAAAAATTGATAACCTTGCTTAGTCCTTTAATCAGTACTGAGTGCTGAGGGGCACTCAAGGACTGTGCAGGCATGTGGGTTTGACCAGCCTACCACCCTGTTCTGAGCCTGGTTAAGGTCATGGGGGGTGCAGCGTGGAAGGCTTTCATATGAAGTTGTGTTTATCTGTAGTCTGTCTCAGTCTATCAGACTATCTCGTACCTTGCATGTTACAGAAGAAAGGGAGAACAGTGAATAATGACTGAAGAGTGGGAGATGGATATAAAACACTGGCATGTCCTTGGTCACCCTCTGGGGAATGCTGTTCAGTACTTATGAATCATTGTGCACCTTCATTTGTGTGCCGTTCAATGCCTGAGGAGAACTTGTTTTAAAAGGGAAAAAATGAAATGGATAAATAATCATTCACTTGTGTTTTACTCACTGGCAGTTATTGGGGGGGTGGGGGAAATTAAATGTATCACAGAAAAAAACCAGTCATATCGGTTTCCTCGTGCGCGGT